TGGGCCAGTGCATGTTTACCAAGCATACCTGAGAGCTGGTTTCGAGCTGGGTGCAACTTAGGTGGACGGTGTATATCCTCTTAAAATTGCATTCCTTTGGTTTCTCAGGTACTTGAGTTATCAATTTACAAGGAAAAAATTTTGGGTACCACTCTTACCCGGGGCTGGATTTGAGCTCATTAGCACCTGCTTGGACGGGGAACATTCCCCTAAAATTTCAACTTTCTAGCATCTCAGAACCCCGAGTTATGAATTTGGGCGGGAAAAATTTTGGGGGGTCCGTACGCGGGTACCACGCTTACCCGAGGGCTGAGTTTGAGCCCACTAATAGCCTCCTGGGCGGGGAACATTATCCCAAGATTTCAGCCTCTAGCTTCTCAGATCCTCGAGTTATGAATTGACTCCAGAAAAACTTTGGCGGGCCCGTACGCGGATACCACGCTGGTTTTGGTACCCATTTTAGGGATTGGGGCCGGCACGTGCATGTAGATCAAGTTCCCAAAATTTCAGCTCCGCAACTTTTATAGGTCCTGAGATGAAAGTGCGTGACAGACGCACACACAGACACATGGACACACGGGCACACAGACAACCTCTCGTCAATATGCGTTTTTCGTATTGCATTGCTGCAAAAAACGCATAACAATTGATTTCACAGTTCGGCTTTTAAATATGAATTGGATATGGCGCATATTTCTTTCTAAATTTATTACTGGTCAATGCTAGACAGCCAGAATAATCTTCGGTTTGATTCTTAAGCATCCCTTTGAAGAAGGAATCATTGACATCCTTACCAGCAGGTAGCTAATGTTGATAAATTACCATCACTAGGGTTGCATCTAGGCTCGCTTACGGCTCTTTAAAGAATTTTATCATCGAGATAAGTCAGCGCCACGAACTGGCTCGCAAGCGGTGAAAGGAGAACCGTAACAGCGGTAGTGTCACGAACTGTTATTAATCAAAATACTTCAGGTAAATATTGGTACACTTGCCGTCAAGGCGATCTGAAACCGGAAGGCTGTTTTTCACCTACCAATGAACGATTACCAATTGGTGGTACATTTGTGGAAAATGGATATGAAATACAATGCATTCTGGATAACAGTGGTTACCTGCAATTCAAATTTAGCGCTTGCGTTCCAAAACCGAACAAACGATATCTGATCGGTGAAACATGGGAAGATGACCAGGTATCATTTTATTTGCTTCCACCAACTTATGTAAATTAATGGCACTGGTGCGTAGTGTAACATCAGGATCGCTGACAAACTGACCACTAATTGCTTTGACCAGTACTGCTTTTCAGAGGCGAGAGAATATTAGTCAAAGCAGCTGGAAAAATTGACAACTGTATAATTAGAGAGCCAACTGGTCGAAGCTATCTTGCAAAAAATAGTGCCATTCCAAAAACTAAATTAAAGAAAGGAGCGGAAGATGGGAAGAGGAGGGAGGGA